GATTTAAATTATCCACCTCTGCAATCCACTGTAATTTTTTCTGGACACAGACACAATTTATTCACTAACACCAGACTTCCCTGGTGGTCCAAGCTTCCAATGCAGGGGACATGGGTTTGATACCTGGTCAGGGAACTAAGATCCTGCATGCTGCAGGGTGTGGCCAAGAAAAAAAAAAAAAGTGGATGAGATATTCACTAACACCATCCCTTATCTTATAATAATAACTTGAAAACAATACTCATTTAAAAAAATCCTTCAATATTACTTCCAAACATATCCACATTTTCAGTAAATGTATAGTTTAAGGATTCAGATGAGCTGCTGGGTAAATGCAAGTACAGAAGATGGGTGCCTTTTTTCCTTCACAGTTTCACATGACTCATTGTGTGTGTGTGTGTGTGTTTAAGAAGCCAAAGAATAGATATTCTAGAATGTCACTACTTAATAAATATCTATCTATATTCCACAACTTACCACATTGTGCTTCCTCCATTTTTGGATGAAAAAGACTGACATATATTATAAAGTGGAAACTTCTTCCATTATGATGGCAAGATGTTTTTCTCCTCTCAGTATTTCCAACCACCTAGTCAGGAACAGCATTTGACAATTCATCAATACAGTATTCAATTCAAATTCTAAAAAATGAATTGAGAACGTTTCACTGGGACAATAATAAACTAATGAGAATTGACAGAAAATGCAATTTTTTCTTTTTTTTTGCTAGAAATGATTTTGGTTTACATAAGGAACAGTAATTCACAAGGGTGGACTGTGGCATAAAAGGGAAAATTTCGGAAGTGGGTAACCTTCCAAAAACATCATAAAATTCAAAGAAAACTAGAGTTCACTGAAAAGAGTCTCTCCCATTTCATGCATTGGTGTCTAAAGATTATCTTTAGATTAATCTAAAGGAATCTTTCAAATGTTCAGTGTTTATGCTTTTTCTATTAAAATGCAAGCATCTCCTGGGACTGCATGCCCACTATCAGCTAACATCATGACAATGTTTGCTAAGTAAGGACTTGTGCTAATGGACCAAAGAAAATGTTCTGAGGAATGTGGGTAGTTGAGTGGACAACAAGGAAAGGATGATAACTGCTATGGAGAAAATGTAGGACACTTAGAAACAAACCATATATTTTATAATTTCTTGGAGAAACTTTCAATGTCATACTACACTAAAAATTTTTGGCCTTTAATGTATGGGATGCTGTACTGGCCCCAAACTGAAAAGAGTGGTTTGTAACATACAGTGGTTGTACAATTTTTCCTTGTTTTTCAAAGCGTAAAACATTCTGAAGGTCATCCCTTCCTCCCAGTATGATTATTTTTTATTTCACAAAAATCAGTTAATTTGGAGGAGAGCGAAGCTGTATGTCAATGAATTGGTTGCAATCTCATCAGGCAATCAGACGTGAGATCAACACAGCTGTTGGAACAGAAACAGCCAGGACGATTCTAGTTAGAGGACTGTCAGGAACACAGAGGCAAAAAGCATTGTTGTCACGTGGGGTGACACCAAAGATTTATTAGTATATTCCTCCAAGAGATATTTAAAATAAGTGCTATGTTTCCGAAGATTATGACACAGTGTAATAGTAATTCTTTCAAAATTGGGTGTATAAAATCTACTTTTGATACTCTGAAGCAACATATACCATATTACATACTCAGACTTTGTGTATAATATATTTATTTGCATACAGAAATATGTATTTCTATTATACATTTTATTACTCTATTTATAGAATATGTATATTAAGCATACAGCATATTCCAGGAAGATACATCAAATATGCACACAGTTCATGCTGTAGCGTGCACCCTTTTAAGAGAAGCTTATTTAAGAGGCATGGTATTATATATACATGCTGAACATACATTTTGCACAATTCATCCAGCTTTGGGTGCTTCCCTAATCTATTTGCAACGCCAGTGCTGTGATTGTTGAAAGGGATACTATCAAACTGGGGAAAAGGCAACTACCAGTGAACTAAGTAGGAGAAAATAAAAGTAGATTGCATTTCTAAGTATATGTTGCCATCATTTTGAACTCCCGTCTCTCCCGATGTCAGATGTTTAGGGTCAAAAAAGTGGTGAATGGAAAAAGAGCAGGAGTATGTGGGACCTCCAGCTTTGACATTCAAACCAGAAAGCTTATCTATGTGGCTTATTATACTGATGACTTTGTCCTACCACTTGGGAGCTGACATTAAATTAATGATGAACTGGTAAAAAGGCAATCATTTCTTTTTTCAAGAAATGAACTAGCTTTTTCACATTCTTAAATTCCTCTTCTTAGAAGACCGCTCTGTGATATTTACATTATTGCTATGAGGAAAGAAGAAGTTCTTGACAGGTATTTACCTTTCCAGTGAAGATAAAGGAGATGAATCATAATGTTTCTGAAAGAGGCTGTTAAGGTTTTTGACAGGAAAAATAGCAGCTCCAATAGAAAGTGAACATATCAACTGCAACCATTTTAATAGCCAACTACTTCAACTTCAATTGACTGGACACTGTGGCAATCATAAGTGGACATTAAGGTGTTGGAAACAATGTGCTATGTGCATGGTCTGGTGATTTTGGCTATATAGATGTGTCTTGTGTTCCCAGTCTGTGAATTACAAATACACCAGACTCAATGGATGACAGTGTGTCTGATACATGATTGGTGAACATTAACCTTTTTCAAACAGATGAACAATTTGCATTGATATTCTAAGAGTGAAACAGGATTATTTTCCCACTTATATAAAGCAAGCTCTCGAATCCCTTAAAATAGGTCAGGGTTTCTCAACTTTGGCACTGCTGACATTTTGAGCCAAAAAATTCTTAATTGTGGGGTCTATCTTGTGCATTGTAAGCCGTTTAGCAGCATCCCTGGCCCCTATATTCACTAGATGCCAATAGCCCTCTCTCAAGTTGTGACAACCAACAATGTCTCCACACATTGTTAAATGTCCCCTGGGAGGAAAAATGGTCCCTAGTTGGGAGCCACTGAAATAGACAAATCCAGCAATAGTTAATGCAAGCCTTTGGATGCAGTCTCCATATCTTTCTAATCATCTACTATTTTCAGTATTCTTTCCATTTTTTCTGATTCCGGTTTACAAAGCTTCCATGATGTGTCAGTCTATATTCAATTCCTTTCTTTAATTTTTGATTGTTTCTCTTTCAATAAGGTTGTGGTAGATACGGTGAAGATCAAGAATAGAAGGAAGAAAGGAGAGCATGTGATGGCAATGGAGAGTAAGAGGCAGTTGGATTCACGATGAGCTGGACTGCTAGAGAAGGCAAAAAAGGACCCAAATCCTGAATCCTCAATCCTTGAATCCAAAGAGTTCATCCCAACTAAAGTGATACGTTGACTTGAAGAAACAAAATAAAAATATGGATCTTAAATGTAAAAGTTTACATTAAGGTAGAATAAAGATATCTGTATGAACTGATGCTGTATGTTTATAAATAGAAGATTTAGTTGGGGAAGAATGACTGAAGTTGTTGAAACAAGAAGTTATTTTTATAAAGGATAAGTTATATACAAAAATTATTGGCAATTTGCTTCTTACTAATTGTTCTTTTTTGTTGTTATTTGCCTTGTGCTTTTTTTTCAGCTCCCCAAAGTTTTGAGATGCCATCAGTGAGGCAAATCACACAAAATAACTCTAATTGAAGTGCTAAAGTCTAATACTGACAAATTCATCATGCAACTCACATGGATATTACTGGTCAAGTTATCATAAAGCCCATAAATCTAAAATGTAAAATTTGTAAAGGGTTTTATAAATTTGATTTCTATCGATTGGGCCGTCTTTAAAAAATCTGATTGGAAGACTATAGCAAATATAGTAAGAAAAAAAAGTTGAGGGGTAAAAATAACTAAGTGTGAGTCAATGTAATTGTATATTTATTCGGGGTACCAATAAAAAGTCTTACATAGACAAGATTTATATAAAGCCGCCGTTGGGTAATCGTTTCTGATATGACTTTTCTATGGTCTAGAATTTTTAAAAATGGTGAGAAGTGGCACAGGTGCAGCCACTTATATTCTTTCAGATTTTGCTGAGCTCACTTGGCCTGTTCAGGTATCCATAACATTTCTGCCATAAAGATTACTGCTTCTATTGACAGAATTTTGAAGTTAAAAAATTTTAGGGAGAACTGATGATTTGAGGGGAAAAAAAGGTGGTTTCAGTATATGTTTTTTAATTACTCTATTTTTTTTTCCCTCCATAGGTCATAGGATGGTTATAAACCTCACTTATCTGTAAGTTGAATATCATCCTTTAGCAAGCATTGAGGAGAAGGTCTTATTCTCTTGGGACTGACCCAAAAGTCATTGGTGCCACGTGAATAAGTTAATCCTATTTAAGATTCCAGATGAATAAAGCAGCATCTTCCTGCTGACAAAGGCCAGGAGTTCATGTTCACAAGTTAGCATGTCATACATAGGTTAGGCAGATCAGGTTGAAACAGGATGCCCTTTCAACCTTCTATTTTCTTATCTCAAAATTCACCCGCCCTCAGTAAACTTTCTCCAACAAGAATGACCATTGTTCAATTTGATGAAACCTCAATTTAAAAAATGACTTTGCTTTCTCAAGCATGTTTATATATTATGTAGGCTATTCTATTAAAATAAGAGGCTAGTTTAGTAGAAAACCAGATTGGTGAAAATATTTCACATGAAAAAACATAAGTGAACTAAATCCTCATAGGGTTTTATACCCCCAAAGAATGCAAAAGACACAGTGGGCAGGGGTGAAATACCCTTTTTCATGGCTGTCTCCGTATTTAGTGAAAGTCCTGCAGATTTTGCCCTTACACAATGTAAAACAGGGAAGTATAAAAACCAATGCCATATGAGAAAAATAATGATGCAATGTAATTAAGTTTTTTGTTTGTTTTTGTTTGTTTGCTCTCTTTTGATGGTGGGAAAGGGAAAGGCAAAAAAAAGATAAGCATTTATTATGTTGCAATTCTCCACATAAAAGCAAAACAAGAGAATAATATATGTTAAACACTCCGGAGGCCATTTCTACATCCTTTTTTGATCTTCTTTGTTCACTTCGCCATTGTGTAATGGCTTTCTTTATGTTTAACTCTCCAGGTTAGTTTGTAACTGTGGCATTTCATCCTCATATGGACACTTGGGAACAAAAAAATGAAAAAAAGGGGTGAGGTTATTATTCTTTTTGTGCAGAGATAAAATTATAGATTCAGAAGCCCTTCTTCAAGAGAGTATGAGAAAGCACAGATCATTTCTTAAATCCACAGTTCCAACATGTCTCCTTAATGGTCTCCTTGCTCCTAAACTGACAGGGTTTATAAGGTGCAAGTTTCAAACTGGAGCATAGGCACCATAAGAGTGTCACTGTTGGGCTCCTTAATTGCACATTCCATGATAAGACTATAAAGTGCAATGGCAGAGATCTGAAAACTAGGAGCTCTTTTATTCTGTTTCTTTTCGCCAAGCTCCCCTTGACTACCTTCTTTCTTTACAAAGATGTTTTACCTTGTGGCGCCTATGTTCTTATAATGACACATGAGAAGGTGTTTAAAGGTCTTCTTGAAGGTGGCATTACAAAGTGCATAGCAGGCAGGGTTGATAGTGCTGTTGATGTAACAGAGCCAATAACCAATTGTCCACACTGTGTTGGGGATGCAGGGTGCACAGAAGGTGTTAATGAGCACCATGACATTGTATGGGGCCCAAGTGATGATGAAAGCCAACAGAATGGCCAAGATCGTCCTGGTCACTTTCTTTTCCCGGGAAGGAGGCGGCTTCTTTTTTGCAGGCTGCTTGGTCATCTTTACAATCTTGCGAGCAACAATGTTCTGTTTTTCGTTTCCATTCTGACCTGAAGAACCAACTACCTCCACGGTGGTATTAGTTGGGGTACATGAGTCACCTTTTTGGGTCTTGGTGACAATTTTGATGCATGTTTGCTTTGAGTTCTCATCTTTGGAGTGGCCCAGGGAAGTGGAAACTGTGTTTTCATCCTGGGTTATTTCATCATCTCTCATATTAGAGGCGACAGCACTGACTGAGGTGGAATCATTGGAGCTTTCCTTTTCCTCCCCCTGGACACAGTTTTCAGCCACAGCATCTCTGGGAGCTTTGCCGTTCTGGATTTTGTTGTGCTCCAGGCCATCATCACTGCCAGGCATGTTGTTGGTGTTTGGCTTCACTATCCTTCCTTGTACCAGACTTGGAGAAACTGGATCTTGGTTGGCCACAGGCTCCTTTTTGTCCTTCTTTATCCTGCTCTTACTGGCTCGGGATATGTGCCAGTATAACACAGTCATGATGATCACAGGCAAATAGAAAGCTGCAATGGCAGTGCCAAAGGTGACAGCAGCATTGGAAAAAAACTGAATGTAGCATTCCCCATCCTCCACAGTTCTCACCCCTACAATGAACTGCCAGAAGAGAATGGCCGGAGCCCAGAGGATAAAGGAGAGAACCCAGGCAGCTGCAATCATCATACCTGCCATTTTTGTGGTCCGCCTGACGGGATAGGTGAGCGGTTTTGTGACGCAGAAGTACCTGTCAAAGCTGATGATAAGCAGATTCATTACTGAGGCATTGCTGACCACGTAGTCCAGGGCTAGCCAAAGGTCACACACCACAGGTCCCAAAGGCCAGTAGCCAATCACAGTGTAAAGGGTGTACAAGTTCATGGAGAAAACACCAATGATGAGGTCAGCACAGGCCAAGCTGAACAAAAAGTAATTGTTGACGGTCTGGAGGTGGCGGTTGACTTTAATGGAGACCATGACCAGGATGTTCCCAATAATGGTCACCAAACTGAGGGACCCAGCCACAAGGACAATAAAAACCACTTCAAATGTCTTATAAGGACTGGTCAGAGCCAGGCCATTGTTAGAGGAGTTTGTTGAGTTATTCATTTTGTGTTCTCTAATCAGTAGCCAAGTAGCCAAATACACATTTAAACCTGCAGGGAAATAGAAGAAAATTAACAAATGCGTAATATAAACATTGCTTTAAAATATATCAGATGTCTCTCTTTTGAACTACAAGTTTTACTCCAAAATCTTCCTTCTTTCTCCTACAAGTTTATTGTGACTACCTGCCTCAATTCCCCCTATGAAAAGCAAAGACTTTAAATGAAGGATTCAAAAGATCCTTTCAGGCTGGCAATGTATTTGAAGTCTGATGACATTTTGAATATGTTCATATCTAGAACTGAATATCTATCTATCTATCTATCTGTCATCAGTCAATTTAACTGAGCATAATATTGATGAATTGAACTAAATAAGCCAAAATTACACAAAAAACTTTCCAAAGCATCAGGAGGTTTCTGGTATAGACATAAAAATTAATAAACCAATAGGAGGACTAAATTATGGGGGAAGCATAAAACATATAACATTGTGTGTGACTTTTTCCACCAGGTTTCTCTAAGTGTTTTTCATAATAATACTGATAATGATAATAATAAAGATAATAATGATACTCCTTTTAGCCAATACGTTCCCCCCAGTGAGTATTATTTTTTTCTGATCTCCATTTTACACTTGTAGTTAGTGTCACATAGCATATTCTATGTAGTTAGCAATATTCCACATCCTGCAAAAGAAATTATTTATCAAATGTATATTGATATGATTATATGAATTTTCTAATTTTTTTTTTCAAATCACTACCAAGTCTATTATCTTATTGTTCTTCCAGACAAATCTTTGGTACAGTCAGGCTGTATTATATTTGTTCAGCAGAACAGGGAACTGAAGCCCAGAAAGATTAACTAATTTATATAAGGTCACATATCAAGTCAATGATAGAGATAAGACTATGAACCTTAGTTTGTTCAATCATTCACTCATTCACTTTGTCCTCACATATCTATTAAGTAACTCATGATTAAGCATTATGATATACTCTGGGTATTCCCTGATAATTAAGACAAGGTCCTTGCCTGTGAGAGGCATATGCTCTGGTGGCAGTGATGGGTTGGTAAAGGAGCAATTATTAAACTGGAGTGCACTTCCTGCTGCCCAGCCCTGCTGTGTCTAAGTAAACACATGTTCAACGTTTTCAGATAATATCATCGAAGTCTGGAGACAACTGAGCAATCTTTCATAAGGGACACTGGAAAGAAAGTTGAGTTTTATCAAATGAGCTATGACATATTTCTGGGGACACAACCTCTGAAGGAAGTGGCCCAAGTTGACAAAATCAATGAGTTGTGTGTATCAGAAAGTAAGCATTGTTGAGAAGTTATTTGTTGGCATTTTGAAATTGAGAAATCTCTATTTATTCAGGTCCCCATAATTACAAAGAAATACAGATGGGGCAGTGGTTTTCCCTTGAAATTCATGTAGAAAATTATTTCATAGTACAAATAGCATTTAAACGAAATGGATTATTCTTCTTGGAAAGCAAGTTATCTTCAAGTATATTTTAAAAAAACAATAACTTAGGAGGAATTTGGCCTTAATAAACAAGACCCAAAACTCAGAAGCCGTAAGAAAAATATATGTAAGCACTATATAATTATTTGAAATTTTTGCATAAAAAAAGTAGAAATAAAAATTGGGAAACAATATTTGTAAAAGCACATGATAAAAAGTTACCTAATGTCCTTAATATAAAAAAGTTTTGAAATGAAATAAGGAAAGATGAGAATACTAACAATCTAAAACATTGATACACTCGCTAGATGAAAGACAAATTAAATGTTAAATTTTAATCATATGAAAAGATATTCAACATCACAATTAAAAAATGCAAATATGTTGTCATTAGTTGGGATATAGGAGGTGGGTTAGTTATTCCATGACCTACTATCCTGACCCTAACTCATCATTCTAAGCACCCTAAAAGGCAAAGACACCCAAATCCAAGTCACCCACAGACAACTGTAATATAGAGTGAGAAAAGAAAATGCAGACACAAACAGTGGAAACCATTTCTTCATCCACAGTTGTTAAAATTACTGGACATTATTGGTTGGAGTTATTGGGGTAATTTCCTTGCAGGGAACCGTATCTATATCTCTAAAAATGTAAATACATTTATAAAAATTTAACATTGAAGAAACACTTGTCTCAGGAATACTACATATAGGAATTTATATTTCAGCTATAGTTAGAAAAATGTGCAAGAGGTCTACTCAAAGACGTCCATTCAGAAATATTATAGCAAAAAAAAAACCACGTAGAAACATTAAAACAATTCATTGACAGAGGCCTCATCATAAATTTCTTAAGGAAAACATAAGGAATTTGAATTTAATCTCTAAGTCATGGAGGAACTTTGAAGAGTTTAATTAGGAAAGTAGTTTGGATGGAATGGAATTTACCATATTTTGTTTCAAAATTCTCCATATTCTGTTTTACCCATCTCTGTGAATCCTATTACCATCAAGTTAAAATTCTTAGCCATCTCCTGGCTTCCTGCCTCTCCCACACTTCCTGCAACCATGACCTGTCAACTCTACCTTTTAAGTATCTTCTGAAGTTATACCTTGTTCCCATTTTCACTCCCATTTCCTTATGTTAGGCCCTACTTACTTGTATCATTGACAGAATTAGACCCTTGATAAAATTTATAATCTTGCCCCCTTGCATCTTTCCAGAAGTATCTCAGAACTTCCCTAAATATCCCACATTAAAGGCAATTACATGCAGTTATCCAAACACAACATTGTATGTTACAACTTCATGCCATTTTCCATCCTTGTCTCGTATCTTCAAAGAACCTCCCCCGCATCCCCTCATCCTTACATCCTCACATTTCTCACCTGTCTGCCTCCTATTCAGCCTTCAGGCATCATCAACTCTATGAAACCCTTTTGATAGCTTTTAGTCTAGCTGTTTTTTCCACAGCATGCCTCATATCATTTTATTCTGTTCTGTTGCTCTTATTCTCCTGTTTGTCTAGAGTTATCTGAATATCAAGTGGAAAGCTGAGTAAATTATACTCCTCAGACTATACCCAACATCCTCATCAGTCTCTGCACGGTCCTCTTATTTTTATTTAATCAATGTTTTCCTTCTTTTCATTGTTATTTCTCACATCCCATTACCCCGTCTCTCCTTCAGAACTTGTTCAAGTTGCTTGTACTATTTCTTTGGCTAGATATGCAACTCTGGAAAATATACATTTTTGCCCTTATGAGCTTAATTTACTAAATGATACTGTGTCTTAGATGTTGTTCTGTTTCTTTTTCATTCCATATTATGTTTTTATATTGCTCCAGCTATTTCAAATGTATTGCTTCTACTGATAATTCCATAGTGAGTAAATCATAGCATCTTTTCTGATACATTTCTCTAGTGATGGGCATGCAGTTTGCCTCAAACTGCTTGAAATGGTGCTGAAATTAAAATTTTCCTATTGTGTCATGGACTTGAGTTACAAATTTCCCTATCATATAATCCTAAGATAGGGACCAAGGCACTGGACGAAGGCATGGGTATAAGCCTTCTTCTGACTACAGTCATATTATTCTCTTGGATAGCTGCAGAGGATCCTACTCTGACCAGGTAAGTCCTGTTTCTTAAAAACCTTTAAACAGTTGTTATTATGCAACTTCGTAATACTTGCCAATCCCAGAGAGACAACATGCAGCTTTTTGTCTTAATTTCTATTTCTCTGATTACTAGAGAGGCTGAGCACTTTGTTTCCTACAGTTAGTAGCCTTTCAGGTTTCAGTTTTCGTAGATCCCCTGTTTAGACCTTTGACCCAAAGGACTCTGATTGATACACTGTCTATGTATTTTTCTTTGTCAGTAACAAAACTGTGAATTTTGACTTCTGAGTCTTTGTAGCTCTACCATCCAGCTCACTGCCTCGAATATAACTGGTGCTCAAAAATGTTTGTTGAATCAATACAGGATCAACAATTAATAATATTAATTCAACCCCTATTTACCTAATCAGTGGAATTGTTTCAATACCACTGCTTTTGGTCATTACTTATACAATTGTTTATTCATGTAATTTATTTGAACAAAATAATTTCACTAATCCAATCATTATTCTAATGATTCCTTATTAGCTAATATAACAGTAAGTTCAGAATTCTGACTTGCTTATAAGCTTGCTTTTGTCTATTCATTAGATAAGTTCATGGATAGTTTTAGAATTGAGTTATATGTATGTTTCAAAATGTTCATTTTAATACTTTGATTGAAAAGTACCAAATATTAATTTTCCCAGTATCCTTTTTGACACTTTAATTTATTCTTCACACTCATTTTAATAAAACATAGAGCAATATTTATTTTATTTAAAAAATATTTTTGGTGACTTCCTCTGGAGAATTTTATATATATATATAAAACATTTAAGTTTAAAAATAAATTAGCTTGATCTCTTATTTTATGGAAATAAGAAACTGTAAGAATGAGTAAGGGATTTGGTTCTTGCCATAACTTCTGCTAAAAACAATAACTATTATTATTCTAAAACTTTACAATAACATAAAGCTTCATGATTCTCATGCTTATGAGCATGCTTTAATTTTCAATTAAAAAATAATTGAGGGGCTTCCCTGGTGGCACAGTGGTTGAGAGTCCGCCTGCCGATGCAGGGGACACGGGTTTGTGCCCCGGTCCAGGAGGATCCCACATGCCGCGGAGCAGCTGGGCCTGTGAGCCATGGCCGCTGAGCCTAAGTGTCAGGAGCCTGTGCTCCGCCATGGGAGAGGCCACAACAGTGAGAGGCCCGCGTACCGCAAAAAAAAAAAAAATAATAATAATAATTGAAAGAAAAAATAATCTTAGGACTCTAAACATGTTATCTCACTTCATATTAACAACTCTATAAAATATACAGAACAGGTCCTATCATCCCCTTTATCTTAAGAAGGAAGCTCAGCCTATACAAAGAGATTAAGTGAATTGTCTTGGTTTCAAGGCCAGTGAGTAAATGTCTGCAACTCAAATCAATGTCTTTACCCTTTGGTTAGATACTCTCTCTG